AAATCGAAACAAACTGAAAGTCCCTCACAGGAGCTTTAAAGGAAATAATAATCTGTATAAGTGAGTTGATGATATTTCTATGGCTCTATATGAGTTGTTGCTGGGATAATTGTTGCTTCAGGTTCCTCTCACTAGAACTGTCACTCTTCCTCTGTTTGAATTGAAGCCACAGATCTGGTCCCAAGACTCCACCAGCTTCATGATTCACATTTATGAGCATTTACAAATCGTAACATCTGAGATTAACCGGAAAGCAAATGTTGGTCGCTCCTCTTTGAGCTGTTTCAAATCAATACAGAGCTTTGTAATAGCTCAAACAAGAAACATTTTAAAATAGACTCGACAATACCATGCCCCACACACAAACACAAAGACAGCTGAATGATTGCATATTCACACTGATTAGCACATAAACTGGTAAACACACCCTGTTGACAGAGAAGCCTTCCTCTCTAACAAGATGATGTCTGAGGCTGATAGTGAGCAGACTTGTGGACAGAGCAGGGTAATGGTGGGGTAGTGGATGGCTGGTGGCAGACATGGGGCTTGAAAGGCCCTTCTTTGGTATGGAAATGTTGACTGCAGAGAGGAGATATGTTAAAATATCTGACTTTCACATGGAATGCCAGGGGCTGTTTGGACATCTGCTGTGTGCTTTGCAGCTATCTGGCCTTCCTGAAACACTTGGGAAATCAACATGCACACATTATTTCGGGCAGCATAAGCATGGCTCTGTTGTCGACCCACACAGTCGCATGTTTAAAGGCGGAATCCACCCCAAAAACAGCGACAGGCGATGAACGATGCATCCTCGAACCATTCTGTTCTTGTTCCCACTGATGACTGGCCAATTATAGCTGATGAGATGTCACGACGAGTCATCATGTTGTCTTCAGAATGGACTGTAAATATCAGGTGTCAGTCCCTTTTAGATTTTAAAGACAGATGTTTTCCGTCTGCGCTGACATTCAACAATCATACAGGCAGGAATCCATCAGTCAAGAGGCAGACAGACCTGCTTCTCCACTGACAGGAGCCTTAATAGACCAGAATGCAATGCAGCAGCCACAAGACATGTTGTGTTTGCCGCCCTCGCTATCCTTACAGCTCTCGCTCTATCCACCTACATGAATAACCCACAGCTGATCAGAAATTCAGTGCAGCCATATGTGCACTATGGACAAAAGGCATGTGAGAACAGAAAGCTGAACTGACTGAACCTGTGTCAGTCATTTTTCAATAAGTGAAGACATTTCATTATCCATGGGCAGAAACTATGTCTTAAAGGAATATTTAATATTTTAACATATTTAAATTCCCTGCATTGAAAGCAGGGGAAACAAAGGTAACAAAATGCATTTACAAACACCGCTATACCTCACTAATCAACACATCATGTCTCATTTGCTTGAGCCATCAAAACCCTGCCTTCAGTTTATCTTTGCCTGGAGCAGTTGCCAGGTAATCAGCAGGAGACTCCAAGAGGTCAGCTCACTGTCAGGTCCTCACTTCTCACTTCTTTTTTTCCCCCTGTAAATTACAAGCTTTAATAATGAGTTTAATTTCTAGAAAATAAATTAGGGGCGCAGATGGCCTAGCAGTTAGATTGCGCCCTGCGTATGGAGGCAATAGTCCTCCAAGCAGGCGGCCTTAGGTTCAAGTCCAACCTGCGGCTCGTTTCCTTCCTTCTCACCCCCTCTTGACTTCTTACTCTATCCACTGTCCTGTCCAAATCCAGGCCAAGGCCCCCCCAAAAAAATCATCTTTAAAAAATGAGAAAGAAAGAATAAAGAAATGCCATTTGGTGTAAATAAGAAGAAAGTACAGGAACATTGCTTAAAGTATTTAAAATTCCAAAAGTGACAATGATTGGTTTTAATTTTAAGGTTTTGAAGTTTATTTCATGGCATAAGATTAACATTTGATCATGTGGGAGTTATTTTATTTGTGCTGGTTCTCTACAAATCAGTGACATCAATTCTAGTGAAATACCTCCCTCTTTTGTTCAGCATAAGAACTGCATCAAGGCATAGAGAAAAAGTGTGATTGTGCATGTGTGTGTGCATGTGTATTAAAGTTTAATACCAAAATCCTATTACTGTTGTTTTGAAGTCAATACAAATCATCAACTGTCTTGCATTCAAATAAATTGTTAAGGGTTCTTTTTTGATACTCTAATTTAATGTTATTTATGTACTATTGCCTCATACATATTAGCACATCTCTGGCTATACACTGTCTACATTATGACAAGTCGACTTCTACCTCTTTGTCTTTGACTTGTTGGTAACAACCTTGTGTTCATTTGTACTGGTATGTTAACTCAAAGTGAACCCACGTAAAGTGTAATGCTCTGTGGCTTTGAATATTATAGTTATAATTACACACACAGGACTTGATGTCCCAGGTCTGTGTTTCAAAGTTTATTTGTAAATGGGTTAATATTGGTTAAGTATGCAGTAAAGCTATGTCAATATGGTTACATAGGCACAGCTGTAATGTTGCATACGTCCAGCAGATGGCGCTAAAAGCCACCTCTATGGAGAGCGTAATATCCAGCTGGCCTCTGGTATGCTCAACAAAGGGTTCATGAGTAAATTCATCCAGATGTCAGCGGTTTGTTGGTCCCTTCTGTATGTTACGTGTTCCCCTTCTCCCTTTAGCCAGCTCCATGAGAAAATGGTAATCCAAGTTTGTTAAGGAAAGACTAAATCAGCCAGCACAGAGGTTTAACTTAAACAAATCCAGTTCACTTGAGGTGAAGACCCACTGTGAGCCAGGTCTATTGTGCATTATAATTGCTGATCCATCCATGCCAGGTGTTGGCCATGTTCTGATGCAGAAGTAGACACCTCCAAGAGACAAAGATTCAGAGGAAGAAGGTATCCAGCTTTATTGATAGTTAACCACCAGAGCTGGTGAAATAGTTTTTAGATCCAACAACACTGTATCTGGGAACAAAAGCATCAAGATTTTGTACACAGAACGTGTACACTCAGTCATCAAAAATAAATAGAAAACAAGATAACCGTAGAACAGAAAAAAAAATGCTACAGCTGAAACATAGAATGAGGACAGTAGAAGCTGGAGATGAAATGTTCCACTGTAAATGTCTTAAACAATGCAAGAGCAAATGTAGATTTAAACAAATGCACATCTGATGAACACCATCTGAAATTAACTGTTAACATTTTTATTGAGAATCAGAAAACTAAAACAGTATATGATGTGTCCAGAACAAGAGAATTTTGAAATTGATAGCCAGCTATTAATTTACCTCAACACAAGCTTCTATCATCTGCTCCTCCTACAGAACAAACAGCAAGTCTATTCATCCTTGTCCTTTTTAAAAGAAATATATAACTATGTATCCTGGAGGTCCGCCCGTATCCATATAAGACAAACACACTCATAACCCGCTCCACAATCATCAAGGAAAAGTGGCAAACCCATCCTCGCCAGTTAGAATAATCATCCTTGTTGAAACAAAAACCCTTCGATATGTGGGAAGTATGACATATCTGATGACGTTCTTGGGAGGGTGCACCAGAGATAAGTCATACAAGTCTACTCAACTCAAAGCTCGGCCCTCTGACATCCTCAGTCTCCATAGCGGAACATTTATCCGATTTATCCCCCCAAAAATAACATACTAGGCTCTGTTCACGTCGATAAGCCAGTTACCAGGTTACATTGTCTGTGTCTGGTTTGTCTGACATCACCAACAGTTATATTTTCATGGAATTATGTATGTATGAATTAACTGTAAGTGAATAAAATCTACTTTAAGTAATTTGTTTAGAGGTCAGAGTTTGCTCCAAAAGATCTACTTGTATATTTAAAGCTGCCATGAGATGTAGAAACAGGGAATTCGGCAGCACAGCAGCCTCAATCTCTCAAGTTAAGGGGATCTCCTGCTTATATAGTATTGCATTTCCATAAATGAACCGTTAAGAGTAGAAGGGATGCTAAAAAAAAGAAGAGAAATCAGGAGATGCTTGTGTATCCTGACTATTAGTACCAGTTAGAAAAAGGGTACAGAAACGCTTGATTTCACATTTCCTACACTGCATGTCAATCACATCTTTCTTTTGACTCTCTTACTGCTAAATCCACCAGATACGTGTTTCGCTGTGTGTCCCCTCTACCACGGTAGCAGAGCTGAAAGGTTCTTACTTTATTCAATGTTCGAGTTTCCGCTGGCTCCGCTGCGTCTCACAGCAGATCTGCCAAGGCTTCTATTTTTTTGCCAGGTGCCGGAGCACGACGCATCAATTTACCAGCGAGCAGAACAAGCGGGACAGGAAGTCACACACCGAAACAACATTAAAACATCCGGTTTATTTTCAGAACGTTGTGTTTATAAGGGGTTTTAGACCACATGCATTGTATTATCTCATGCTTTCGGGATGATTTTGTCACGCGGGAATTTCTTGAGTTGACACGCAACGCGCACACATATCTGGTGGATGGTTATGCAAACTTATCTGTATTCATTAGGTAGTTTGCTGATTCCAGTCCTAAAAACTAAGACAAGTCTGTCATCACTTTTCTTTTTCTCTGACTTGACAAAGCTCTACTTTTTTGACATGGAGAGATAACTCCTGAAGTCAATTCTGTACAAAAGTCGGAGTGTTCCTTCAAGTAAATTCTTTATTTATTTTATGTAGAGGCATGTTCAGAGGCAGGGAGCCACATGTGACCTGTTTGACGAACACCTCCACTAGCTTAGATGCACATGCTGTAAGTGAAATATGTGAACAGCAATGTGAAACAAATAGTTTTAATCGATCAATATGATGAGCAGATGAAGCTTCCTACAGCCTTACTGAATGAGGTTCTGCTAAAACGAACATGTCATTTACTTTTTCTTCATGAGTCTTGAGTAAGGTACCACGTCGAGAGCAGAAAGGAGTTTCACAGTCCTTGAATGTGTGTGTGTGTGTGTGTGTGTGTGTGTGTGTGTGTGTGTGTGTGTGTGTGTGTGTGTGTGTGTGTGTGTGTGTGTGTGTGTGTGTGTGTGTGTGTGTGTGTGTGTGTGTGTGTGTGTGTGTGTGTGTGTGTGTGTGTCCTTTAGGAGGTCCAGCGCCACCACGCCACCTTCATGCGGTCCCAGACGGCGTCTACGGAGTCAAAGGCGGGACGTACATCCAGGATGGAGAACTTGTAGGTTTCCTGGTTGATTTCGCCGTCATAGTAGTCGATGATGTAGCGCACCTCCTTCCCACAGCGGTCAACGATCCAGTCGTGGCGGTCAAAAGGCAACTCGTAGCTAAGAACGAGGAGAAGCAACAGCTGTTAATGTCTGAACTGGACGCTGGTATGCGCTTCTTTGAAGCAGCAATGGAAGCTATAACTAATGGGACTGTATGAAAAGGATTATACAATTTAAATGTCGGAAAGGAACTGTAGAAAAAGAAAGTCACTTCATCTGAGTTGTGACAGCTCTGACTCTATTTTTTTTTTTATTGGTGGTAAAACGTCAAACCAAATGTGCAGGAGGCAGGATTTGGGGTACGTGTGTGGCAATTAACTAATGTGTTGGGTGTGTGTGTGTGATTTGTATTTTACTGTTGCCATCGTCTGCCAAGGGAGACCGATGGAAATTAGCTAGTTAGCTAAACCTGCTACAAAGCTTCTCTTCTCTTCTGAGACTAATGTTTTTGTACACTGTCCCTGATCAAATAAACTAATAATTAATTTAAATAAATAAAATGATGTTTTAATGATGCACACAGCAGCAGCATTTCAATCACAGTGAAATAACACTAAAACATGTTTGACTGTGAGATCTCCATTGAACATCACAGGATGTTTTTATCTGAACAATCTTGCCCGGTGAAGTATCAGATCTGTATAGAAGGTACATATAATGTTTCTATGCTTGAAAACTGGGTTTAAGGAAAGGAGAAGAACAGGAAGTAGAACATTCAAACTTTTCTTCAATAAATGATGTCTAAACATCTAACATCCTGCTTCAAGTGGATTAAAGGTTTAAACGTAAACAAAAATAGTTTCATGTCATCGTGTTAATACAAAAGGAATGAAGACACAAATTAACTGTTTCTGAACGTCTTAGTTTTTGGGATTAAAATCAAGGCTGATGTAGTTTGAAGGAGCTCACCCCATCCAGTGACGGACGCGAGCTCTGGGAGAAAACTCTTTGGCTTTTCCACCAAACCTCTTCAAAGACGGCCCACATGGACATTCCCTGCGATCAAAAAAAAAGAAAAAGAAACCATCATTAACTAACGGTCAATACTTCAGGCAGATCATGTACACACTGAGGTTGTGATGTTGTTATGTTTGTTTGATGCTACGATTGATTCTTCCATTGGACATAGTTGTTTGAAAACAGTGAGAGTAATAATAAGAAAGCTCTTGTTGTCGAGGGCCAGTTGTTGTTGACTCACTTTGCATGCATGGCCTCCCATTTCAGGATCTCCTCCCAGGCCTGCTCATTGTTCGTATTGTGGATTTTAATGATGTTGGTCATGTCCTTAGCAGCAAGGTCATCCTCCCGCCAGCGCCACCTGCAGCCCAAACAAGAGAGTGGATCATCATTTATGGCTTTACTGACAAAATGCAACGCCATGGCTCGTTTTATTGTAAATGTCGTGACCATGATCTTCAAGGCCTTGATCCTTTAACGCAACAATCCCACAACAACAGGTATACAAATTTCAGAATAATATTACTTGTTACACTCAAAAGTAACCCAATATAAGCATCAGTTTCTTCAGGGGAAAAAAAAGATCACATCTCTCTCAATGATCTCTTCTCATCATCTTCATGTGGGTTGCTCCGTCTGTATCTGCCAAAACTCAGACTTTGACTTTGATATTTTCTTATTTTGCCGTGTCTTGGAGGGCGTCAACATTTAGAAAGTGGTTTTGTAGCCTCCAGCTAATAACATCCTGCACCGTTTGAGGTCAAAAACTATAAAAAATATTTGACGGATGGTATACAGGTTTTTAAGCTAAGCTTTTGGTGTCGTGAGGCGGGATGGGGGTTAAAGTTCTGTTCTCAAACCGCAATAGATGAATCTTTTTCATACTGCCTTTAAGATAAACAGACAAATGTTTTGTTTTTTTTAATTATTTTAAATGACATTACAAACTGGGGGTATGTTTCTGTAAACACCTGCAGTGATGAGCTGACATAAGAAAGGCTGATTAAGGACTGACCCTTTCCGCAGCATGGCGTTCCAAAACATCTGTTCAGAAGGGTAAACCCAGTTCTTCTCAGCGTTGTGGCGAGGTATTTGGGACTCCTCTCTGTTGACAGACAGGCTGAAAGGTTGGTCAGGAGCTGGTGATTGGTTTGGAGGAGGCATCTGAATAACAGAGCAAAACAGAACAAAACAGGATTTAGACGCAGGACCGCATAGTTTAAAGACATACGTAGCTTATCCAGGAGAAAATAAATTCAGTCTGCAAGTAACAGCACAAAAAGGTATGGCCATGATTACTGCTTGGAGAGATTAAAAAAATATGTTTGATGATTTAACATTTATTCCTGATTTGCTTGTCCTCTCACTCTCACTCCCCTTCCCTGTCCCTCAACCCCCCCCCCCCCCTTTCATACACCATACTGGTAAAGGTACCATGTTTGCAGGGTTGATGTCGCTGTTCGCGCCTTCTGCACCTTTCATTGGACACTCGACGAACTCATAGGCCCGGTCTTGGTGAGCTGGACCTGCTTCCGCTTTGTGCATTGGACACTCTGGCGGAGGAGTAACTGAAGGGACACAAAAGCAACTGGTTCAGACTTAAGAGGGGACCAAAAAAAAAAAAAAAAAACTCCAACCATATTAGGCCACAGCTTTAATTAACTGGTAAAGCATTTAAAAAAATGAACTTTGAAACAAAACAAATGTGTTGTGACAAAAATAATGAAGAGGCCTGCATGTCATCTGATCTTATAACTGTTACCTTTCACAGGCTGCGATTGATGCATGGGACACTCAGAAGGGGGAGACACTGTGAAAGTAAGATACAAACACATAAAACAACATTATTGCATGATGTAATACAGTAACATCATGACGTAATGCTAGTTAGGAGTCTCATAAAGTCACCTTTGACAGGCTTGGCTTCTTGGTGCATGGGGCAGCCCTGAGGTGGGGTGGCCATCATGGCCTCTGCCTGGACTGTAGGGGCAGCTGGTGTAGACATGGAGGCTCCCATCCTGCCTTGTTCTGAAACAAAAACACACAACATTTAGGCTGTCCACACAATTCACCTAAGATATGCTGGGGTGGAAAACCAGTTGCAATAAATCTCTTATCTAAGTTGCAATAGCGAAAATAATGCTCAGCCCCTTAGACACCCAAGAAAGAGCATTTTATTACACAGCATCTATCGTTAGCCTGTTGTTATGTGTCTTTGAGACCTGAGTTCATATGGCTAATGTAATCGTCACATGTTTGGCTGCATTGGGAAGTGTATCCTCAGATAACCTCAATGATTCAGCCTGGAAGCTTCTACACTCAAGCTTTACCAGGCTAGTAAACTCCGGCTACTAGCCTGGCAACAGTGGTAATAAACAATTACACACCCAAACACTGTGATTACAATAAGTAAAAGACACGAAATGCATAAATCAGCCTGCTATTCACGCTAAGCATTTACCCCCATTTACTAATTTTATCCACAGAAAGTCAGGCTACCTAGCGGCTATGCTAACGTTAGCTGATAGGTTGACTACATTCTTTTAAAGATTTAACCTCCTTCTAAAAGTCATACTTCAAAATTACATTTGGGACACCTCTTTCAGTATCCGTCTGACAGGTTTTCAACATGAGGACGACTATGTAACGAGAGCGAGAGAAATAAAGGAAACTCACCTTTGGGAGAAAGTCAGATGAGAAGTGTTTTCTGTCCGGTTACTATCCCCAATGTCAACGTGCAGGACAGACGACGTCACCCAGAAGAAGTTGCACAACTGAGCGTATGTACGTCATCACGTCGTCGTCGACGCTATGTAACGCCCATAATATTTAAATAAATAAAACTGGTTCTCGCACTTTTTCGTTTCAAAGACCCCACAAGAATTAGACTACGGCCCCGTTATGATATTATATTATCCCGGGGATCAAACATATTTTATAGATTTGTGTTTATATAGTCTATATTTACATAAAGTGTACACCTATGCTAGGCTACCCGCAAACGTGTCATTCTGTTAGCCTACTTGGGGATGGAATCAGCCTTTTTCTTCCACAAAGTTTTGTAATACTTTGTGACTACAATGACTCTGATAACATATTTACCCTTCTTTTATACATGTATAAATATAACAGGTTCAAAACGTAAGTTAAGCATTTGGCTTTGTTTTACTCTTATAACAATCTCTTTTTGCCATCAGTTTTGCCAACAATGGAGTGCACTGTAGGATTTAAACCAACTTTCCCATCAGTGTTAAAAGTCCTATTGACATTGTTTACCAAACACGTTCGCACTAATTTGTCCCTGATTTGTCCCTTCACAAGGTTTTCCTGTAGTATATTGGCAAGTCACTAGAGGGAGCCAGAACCATATATAGGTAAAATGTGTGTAGTCTCCACAGTGGCACTGTATCAAATCATGCTGAAGGGTACACTACAGTCCTTCTTACTTAAGGACTTTTTTTTAAAGAACATTTTGCCAGGTTAATGTAAAAAAAAAAGTACTATTTTTCCTTAACAAGCATCTCTGCATCAGTGGTTCTCAACCTTTGTTCATATGAGCCCCTCAGGACCCACATGAAAAAAAGTGATACCTTGCTGTTTTAAATGTTTTTATTGAAAATCTCCAAACAGAATAGTCCTACACACAACTTTTCTTACTGAAAGACCAAACTTTCCAGTATGTGTTTTATCATTATTTCAGTTAATACTGTATGTGCATATAGCCTATCATTTGACAACGTCTGAGCCTTGCCGGGAGTCAGTACTGAATGATTATGTTTTAACCACAACTACTAATGAAACAGTAGTGGTACTTTTTGGAAATATATTTCAGTATTTGTAGCCACAAAGCTAATGATTAATTGTTGGCTTCAATAGGGCTTCATCACTATATTCATAATATTGAAAATATGTGTTCTTAAATCAACCATTCAACATTTAATCTACCATTAACTTGGACTGAATTTTGCATAACATGCGACCTTTAAGCCGCATTTGGGTAAATGTTCAACTCATGTAGCTAATAATCAGAAAACTTAATGTCGACGCAGGGCTTCAGCCTACCATAAAAATAAGGGGTTACATGAAGAGTTGTCTGTGCAGGTGAGTTTTTAGTTGCTTCTTGATACTGTTCAAACATTCTTCCGATCTGAAGGTTCTAAAGGACCTAAGTCTAAAAAAGTCCCAGTTATACAAACCTAGTGGCTTAAAAACATGGCACAGTTTTGCTAACCTTTTTTCTGTGACAAAGCTTAAATTTTCCATTTGTTTTATACAGGTTAAGGAAAGTTTATTAAGCCCCTAAAAATACATTTTCTAAGCATGTATGGTAAGCAAGTTCATAACATTACAATCAACTCACAAGTTTATTCAGAACAATTATCCAGTTGATCCTTGACTTTTTTTTTTATCTACTTTGCACTGTTAAAAGAATTTCCCTCAAACAGCATACTGTTAAAAGTGTGAGTAAAGTAAAGCCCTATTATGCTTGAAGTTTTTGTGGTTGTGAACGCCCACATTGGAAAAAAAGACATTGGGACATTACTTGGACACCAATGGATATTGCTTTGGGTTTGGCTCCATTATTTGTTTGCTTGAGTAATTAATCCGAGTCCTTGCTGTGCCTGGAATGAGAACACAAACTCAGCTCACAGTAACGCTCTCCTCCGAAGTGTTCTGCAGGGAGAATTTGTTAAAGCTGTTTGTGTTAATACAAAACCGTGATCTTGCATAAAGTTGTAATGTTTTATATTCAGTATCAATAAGTGTCAGCTGTCTTAATATTGCAAATCCTTCTCTAAAGCAATAGTTGTAGCTTTGATAACGTGACCTTCCTCTCTTTAGAGAATGAACATTTGCGCCACAGACCAAACCTCTGCAAACCCTGCAGACCGCAATTATTGAGAATTATGTGAAACTTAACACCAGTCACACTGATTAGAACACGGCTGTTCACACAAGTCGCTTCACCCATGTTGAACAGATTGAGGAAGAGTTTCCTAATTTCTTTCAGAAAAATGGAGCAACAGTTCCAGCAGTGCCATGAATGAGACTCTTATCTAATAGTGCCACTTCAATTCATGGAGACTCAATATATGCAAACTTGTGTCTGACCTGTTGTCAATTAGTACTTGTTCACACATTAGGTGTTCAACTCGCTCATGTCGCTGTAGGACACTTCATGTTTGATTCACTGATGTTACAGTCGGCGCTCAACGAGTGTTGAAACTGGTTGATGTTCATATTTGGCCTGTCCCTGTATGTGCAGTGTATCTGTTCTTCTTCTTCTCTCCTTTCGTTATCTGCTATTGTTTGTTATGTTTGTCAGTGTCTTGTAAGCCCATATGGGCTCGGCAACCTTTGGTGTATGGCACGTTGAAATAAATTAATTAACTTAATAAAACAGCTGTATGTCTATCTGAGGGTTATAGAGATATATCCTGATGAATTGAATCTATTTGTGGATGATGTGTTTTTTTTATAGACTCAATGTGATTGTGATTTCCCCACAGCTGTGATGCATACTACGAAGTTGTTGCAGTAAAAGTTTTATACCCCAAACACACAACCAGCGTTCACTTACAGACATCTGTCATCTGATGATGTGTGTCTCAGGCAAAAAAACAGCTTTTGGACTAACACATACCAAATGGTAAATGGACCTGAGCTTGTAAAGGGCTTTTCTAGTCTTCTGACTACTCAAAGCACTTTTACACCATCAGAAGGAACTAATCACTTCATACCCATTAATACGAGGAGCGGGAGCAATTAGGGGTTAAGTGTCTTGCCCAAGGACACATCGGACATGTTGCTGCAGGAGCTGGGGATTGAACCCTCGACCTTCGGCTTTGATTTGATTCCAGAATCAAATCAAAGCATCTGTTACATGACATGGAGTAGAACATGCAGGAGGTTCACAATGATTAGGTGTCAGCGTATTCGTTTGGACGCATGTAACAAGACTTGGACACGTCACGCTCAAATCAAAAATCAAATGACTTGAGACTCAACCTACAAATTGAATTTGTCTCATTTTTGTTTGCCCTCATTGTCCTCACCTGTGTTTGATTGCCCCCTTTGTTTCCTCCCGTCTGTGTCAGGTGATTGTCACATTTACCCCGTGTTTGTGTGATAGAGTTTCAGCGTGGCTGTTGGTTTTCTATTCTGGAAAAGTGAGCTTTATTTTTGCATGTTTGCCTGTTTGTTCAAATGAATCATCAGTTTGAATCTGGACTTGGGTTTACCTTTATTTTTAACTGGGGCTTTTTGATCTTGAAATTTAGACTTTTCACATTTCATAAAATTGATAGCAAACTAATACCCATTTAAATTATGTTGTTCCACTGTGATGACCCCTGACTTTAAGTGCTCCTCCTCCTTCCTTGTAATTGTGCTGCATTGATGTGGTGTCGGACAAATTGGAAAAACGAGTTTCCGAGTTTTAAAATGCACATGAACACCTGCTCAAGTTGGAACAACAACTCGGAAACTCGGAAAAGAAGGAGCTGTCCGACTTCCCGACTTGACGTCATAATCGTCATCAAATGAGGGGCAAAATATGTTTTGTTAATGTTAACATTCTTTTAATTAATTCCGGTATTGCACATCAACTTTTTGCTCAAATATAACTTTTAACAGTTACATTTCACTGACCTTCTTCGTACCATCAACGTTGTTTTGTGTTATTGTTACAACATTCAGACTTTCTGAACTGAAATCATGTGAACACACTGAAGTCGGAAGAACGACTTCCAAACTCGGAACCTTGGACCACCCGAGCATCACATGAATGCAGCATTTCTTCCCACTTAGGTTGCCTTCAGGTAGAGAGGGGCGGAACCACTTAATTTGATATTGTGCACCTGGGTGGTGCACCTCAGTATTTAAGCTTGCTTCTCATGCTTCAGTTTTTCTCTCTTGTCAACTCTTCACACATTCACCTTTACAACCACCACTGATTTACAGATTGCATATTCTTTGATCAGAATGATTTGCCTTAGTTTGCAATAAATAATATCTTATATAACTTAAAAACTGTGTGCTCTCCCTGTTTGTCCAGCTCACTTGTGACACCACGCTCTCGCTCCACTGTCCTATCTGAATAAAGGCCATAAAAGCCCCATTTATTTATTAAACATGTTTTTTTTTATCCATTATTCATATATCAAAAAAGTGGATTGGATCCTTAATAAGTGTATTGCTTGAACATGGCAGTCTTAGCAGTTTTTACTCTTACCCTGCCACTCAAAACCAACAGATTGCATAATGCTGACAGATCAGGTGTATTTGTGAATTGTCACAGTGTTTAAACCCAGTCTGTAAACAAAGAGGGATTTAGCTGAAGTAAAACAGGCCTCTTCGGGCCTGCATCGCAGACTTTGTTCCTGCTTTGTAGTCCTGATTAATTCCAGTCCATCTACAGCTGGGACTGAAACGATGATGAATGTGTTATTTTCAGCTCGCTGTTTTGAGATGTTTCCTTCACTGGGCCTTTTTATCTGTTTTCATTTCCACTAACTCTGCCTTTGATCAGGCACATGGGGGGACAAGCACGTCTGTTTCTCCTGGACAAACTCGACTGGAGCCTCTATTTACACTATCTGGCCCTTTGGAGGGAGCTCTCATGTGTAGGAGCACAGTTGTGAAGAAAATGACATGCTTTATCTTTACATATTTATGCAGAGTGAACGCCAGAAAGGCCAACATCTGAAGGCAACATTGTTTTATATTTATTCCTTGCCTTAAGACATTATTCGTCTTAACTGGTT